CCCGCCACACCGCTCGCACCCCGCGGCAGCGAGGGGACCCCCCAGCCTCGCTTGGCCGGGGGGGGTGCGGAGGCTTTGCTCCTTAACCGCCAGCCAGAGCAGCCTCTGGGATGAAAGGGGCACCGGGGGCTTTCTGGGTGTGTCCCCCCACCCTCGACACAGCCCCCACCCCCCCCACCCCCGAAGCAATTTTGGCTGTTTTTCGCCCCAGGGACCCATGTGCGAGCGCACGGGGAGGGGGGGTCTGGCCCTGGGAAGCCACATGGGCTGGTTTGAGGCTGCTGGGGTTTGCCCAGTGCCTGCTCCAATTTTGATTCAAACCAGCCTTATTTTGGTTCCATTTCAGTCAATTAGGAACAGATTTAAGCTTAATGCCAATAAACCTCTTGAAACCCCACCGGGGTCTGCGTCAGCGGAGCGGCAGCAGCGCACGGGGACGGGGATGCAGCGGGCAGCCAAATGGGATCCGTGTCCCTCGTCACCCCATCCCCGGGCTCCCAAGCCAAGGTGGAGGGGGGGGCACTGGAGGGGGGGACACGACACAAGTCCTTTACACCAAACCATGGGGACAGGTTTATTTTGGATGACCATAGAAAGGGCATTTGTGGGGCACTGGAGCCATTGTGGGGCTGGGGGCACAGCTGATCTCCGAGAGGTGGGGTTTTTTTGGGGGGGGAAGCTGCTGCCTGCAGGGTTCCAGCCAGCAGCAAAGGCGGTGTCCGTCTCGATGGGGGTCAAAGCAAGGCAGCCCCTCGGCACAGTTGGTTGCGGTTTTGCTTGGGCAAAGCCCCAGTGCAGCTGGCAGAGCCGGGGAGGGGAACCAGCCCCACGCCTGAGCAATGCTCAGGATTTTGGGGGACCCCATTTTTCCCAGCGAGGGGTTCTCCACCCCTTCCAGCCTGTGCTCAAGAAAAGGGGTCAAGGGCAAGACGCCCACCTTGTTGGGGTGGCGCGGGCGCCTGGGGGGCTGCACTGGGAGCGGGTGGGGGCCGGGGGTGTGAGCGGGGCCCCCGTTCCACCGGCTGGCCCCTCCAGCCGTTCCCACGGGGACACCCATCACTCGACTTCTTCCGAATCGTACTTGAGGTCCTGGAGAATTTCGCTGATTGCCTCAATGGTTTTAATTAGCCTACGAGAGCGGATGGAAACTATAAATAAAGCCCATATGGAGCATATTATCTGGGCCGCCTTGCCTTCCCCGCGCTGTTTATGAAACACTCAGCCCGGGGAGGCCGAGGGGACCGCGGCCGCGCGGCATCGCCAAACCCTCCCCGGGGCTGCGGCCGAAAGCGCTTTTGAAGGCACCATGTGGGCCCCCCTGGGCTGGAGGGAGGGGAAACGCGGGGAAGGGGCTCTTAGCCTGGAGGGGGCTGCCGCCATCCCAAAAATGGTAGGAGAGGGCAGCGGGACCACCACTTACTTGTGCTTGAGCTCCCGCACCTCCTGCTGATGGGCGTCCATGTCGGGCTGGTCCTGCGCCTGCTGCCGAGCCAGCTGGAGCTGCGCCGTCTGCGGTGGGGACACGGCGGGAGCTGAGACACCCCCAAAAAGCAGCCCAAGCCCTGCTCTGGGCAGCGGTGGGGACCCCGCCCCCCCCAGCCCAATACTCACCAGCTGCAGCTTTTCCTGTTCCCGTTCCTGGAGATGGGCGAGGTGCTGGGCCAGGTCCGGGCGGGCGAGCTCGTCCCGCAGGCGCCCGGCGATGCACAGCACCTCCCGGGAGATGCCGTTGAAGGCCAGCGTGATCTCGTGCACCAGCTGCCGGTAACGTGGGAAATCATAGTGGGGTGCGCTGCTCAGGTATGCCCGGTGGCCCCTGGGGACAGGTTTTGGGGGGGAAGCCACCGTCACCACACCTGTGGGGTACCGGGATGGTGGAACCCCGTGGTCCCAGTCCCGGTGCTGAGCTCCCTTTGCCACCCCGCCGCAGGATGCACCAGGAGGGTTTTCCTGCCCAGATTTGGCAGCTCCCAATCCCCGCCACCAGGCACCCCTCGCACAGGACGGGCTTGGCAGCTCTTTTTGCGGGGGGGAGCTGGGGGGAGCGTTGGGCTTTTTCTTCCTTTTCACTCGCAAGCCCGCATCCCGGGAAGCCCATCATCTCCTGTCGGATGCTAAAATAGGATACAGGTGTCCGGCGCGGGCGTCCCCCTGCCAGCTGGAGCTCATCAACCGCCCCGATGGCTGCTGCTCCGTTCCGGCAGCCCCTTCCCATCAGGATGCAAAAAAATCAGGATGGCGGGCGGAATTCGGTTCCTTGCTGGGGATCCCCCACCCTGGCAGGTCCCGTCCCCATCGGTGCCCATCCCCACGGTGCCGGTACTCACTCCTCGAAGAGCCGGTACGCCTCGGCCCGCTCGCCCTGCAGCGCCTGCAGCCGCTGCAGCAGCACCTTCACAGCCTCGCCTGTCTGCCGGTGACAAGGGGATGGTGACGGCGTGGGACGACGGTGCCACCGGCACGGCACCCGACGCTTCACCGGGCGGCTCTGCTCCCGCTAACGGGCTCTGGGCAGAGCCGGCACCTCCCGGGGTGGGGGGGTCTCACCCCGGTGCTGGGGCCTTGAGTTCCCCCCACCCCACACCAGTGCCAGTTCTGGGGGAACTGGGGTTGAGCCTGGCCGCGGTGCTTGAGCTCGGTCCAGCACTGGGACCCCCCCCCCCCCCCCCCTACGCCCCAGGACCCCCCCCCCCCAACCGCCCACAAAA